TTTTCTTTTCGGGCATTTCACTTTCTTGCAGTTGAATTTTGTTTTCAATGGTCATTACATTTAAGTGTCTTGAATAAATAAGATAATAATGAAATACATGTATCACAAAGTTTGGGAATAAAGTGACGGGTGGCACCAAAATTTTTCACACAGTTGAGATATGGGGAAAAGACTGGAAATAAATTATTTGCATCATATGTCCTGATGACAATTTTAAAGAAAACAAAAAAAGTCTTTGCATAAATTGAAGAATTATTTCCTATGTTGTGATTGAGAGGTTATGTTGGGGGAGGGGGGCGATGACAACTTCCTCATTGGCTCAAGGGAGCGATTCGTTCAAAAAGGTTAAGAACCACTGCTTTAAACCACTTCATTAAACCGGTTCTCAAAGATAATTTATCCTAAGCAAAATTACATTCAGTGCCTCTCATTTCAGATATTAAGAGGACTTTTCAATTGCCCTATTATTCAGGGTACAATACTATTCTGTTTCTGGTCTTCAAGTACCTTCCTTGAGCTATTTTTACCTTTCCCAGGATAAAAGCTACACACTTTCTTGTCTATTCACTTTCACACATAGTATCATGGATAGATGTTAAATGAGAGTATAGTGTATTTTACTAAAACAATCTCCATTAGCATATTTCTCATACAAAAACACAGATCAAGCAAAACAAAAGCAAGATCATTATCTACAAGTGTTATAGTATTACAGGCTTGGAAGTTGTATTACACAACTTGTGAAAAAGCAGCTAGGAGAAAAGACTTATTGCCTTACCACTAACAGGAAATATTGTAAAAGGGTGAAGTGACCGTTGGCATATTCCCAATGCTGATCAGGTTGCTAATTTTGACCTCTAAAGTGTGAGCAAAATATTAGAGAATTAATTTTCTGATCTGCAATGAAGTTTGGATTTCAAGCCTGTAGCTTTTACCAGGATACAAGTATGGAAAAGAGTTTGATGCTGACTTACCAATTACCTGAGGAGTTTGTAGTTCTTATTTGAAGCTAGTTAAGATTAATCAGAAACTCTGCCCCAATATGGTACCTTCAAAGTGAAGGAGGGGATCAGTTTCCAAAATTCTCCTGACTGAGCTTTATGAGAGTTGAAATCTATTTGAGAGCAGAATGGGAAGATTGCATTTTACCTTATCTTGGTTTCTTTCAGTGTGGGAGAAATCAAAAGCCTAGTCAATGCAAACTAGCTATTAAAACTGTAAAAAGAGATTGGTCTGCAGTTTCTTCAGCTAGATATTAACAAAGCAGACAACCCAAACCACCAAGTGGAAGCTGCCCAGACAGGAGCTTGCACACCTTGGTCGGGCAGATGAATAACTGCCATAGAGTAATTCCTTCCAGCATTTTCTGTGTTGATCCAAACAACTCTTACTCACCAGGATTGAATTTTAGGTCACCTAGTTAACAACAGTTTTTGCTGGGCAGTTCCCACTTAAACATTCTCACTACTTCCACCTTAAAAATTTAGCCCTTGGATTGATCTTCTGAGGAGTTTCTTCATCTACCAGGATGTTCTCAGTCAGCTGTGGAGAAATTTGTTTTGTCTCCCTTGTGTTTGCTTAGGAACTGCATGTCAATAGTGGGCATTGCCAAAGCCAATCTATTTTATTCTTTTTATGATTTGAAGGCCACTTCTTTTTTTTTTCCAAAACAATTTTTATTAGTTTTCCATTTTACACCAACACAGCTTAAGAACCTACATGGAAACATGGTGATCATTTTTTTAAAAACAAACAATAACATAGTGAATATATATACACAATATTTCTTAAAAATTTCCCTCACTAGCTATATAGAATATTATAATCAAATTAATACATTTTCAGATGAATTCATTCATTACTATGTCTAACCATCAACTGCATTAATCAATAAAAGATTTTTAATCTATAAAAACCTATATTTCTTCACACATTTAAACTTAAACTTAAAGAACTCTCCATTTATTTAAAAACATTATAATCAAGTCAATATCTTTCTAAAACTAATTCATTCACTAATATGACATTTCATCCAAATTATATAATTAAAACTAAACTAACATTCTCTATTTATATTGTTATAAGCTCCTTAAAACATTTCTAAAACAAATTTTCATTGAATATATCACTCTATATAAATTTCACTAATCATAAAAAATTACCAACTCATCCATTCCAAAGATCCTGTATCATGCTTTCTTAATTTTTGCAAATACTTAATCTTAAACTAACATATTCATTTACTATTCAAGTGTCCCAAATTTTTTTTTATTTAAACATTATTAACTTCAAAAATAAATTCTTCTCTTTCTCACCAACATTCTATTGTTTTTCATTGTTTCTCCAAATCTCCAATAATTAATTCCATCTTTTCCCATATTTAAATTCTTTTCTTATTATACCATCTCTAATATTAAAAACATATAAAGCCCTTTTAACAAAGTCCAAATCCAAATCAATCCAGATCACTCTAAAACCTTTACCACATTACTATAATTAGATTTAATATTTATATCTTATTCTGGGTTTCTTTCTAATCCAAACAGGTTTCCATAATCGGAAGGCCACTTCTCATAATCAATCTCCTTAAGTTATTTATAGCGGCTACAAAACACAAAAAGCATCACGTAAAAAGACAAATATTAGGGACAGGCGCACCTCAATACATTTCAAACATGGTCTTCCACAGTGAAGGTGGCCTACTCAAAATGTAAACTATTGCCTGGGTTTTCATCTTCTATTGGCTTAAGCTCTCTTTTTTTTTCAACTACCCTTGGGTCCTTTAATTATGATTGACAGCTTTCAGTCTTCCAGGTACCAGGGTGATACATGCCAAACTACTGCTTTATCGCCAGCCATCACTATGACGGACTATGAACACACACTAGTGGATCTCAGCAGGTCATTGACTTAGAGCTGCAAATGGACTTTCCTGTGCTACCCAGAAGCACCTTTTTGAGCCAATCTGCACAATTTTTCCAATTAGCTAGATATCTTAGTTGCAAAATTTAGAAGGGCTTTATCCTTGGCCAGATTCATTGCCTTCCCAACAGCCATTACTAAAAGGAGATCTCCTTTGAACAGGTGGAGGCATGACTGAAATGATGGGATATATTATTCTATAATGTCCCTCTAGGCAGGTGCTCATCAGGAATTGCTATATCCATTCTTTATCCTGGTCTTTCTGACTTGTTTTATCTTAACTTGTTATTAGATCAATCTGATTTTGTTTCCTTGACCACACGTAAGTCCTGTTCAATACTTTGTACAGCAATCCTCTTTAGATATTTTAGAACAGTGGTTCTCAACCTTTTTAATGCCACGACCCCCAACTGGTCGTAAGTCGAGGACTACCCAACTGGTTGTAAATCGAGGACTACCCAACCGATCGTAAGTCGAGGACTTTCCCTGCCCGGGAGCGCCGCGCATGCGTGGTGCCGCCCCCTGTGCCGGCCGAGGCGTAGCTGGCAAGCGGCAGAGACGGTGCAGGCCGACCACCGGCTGGGCCACCAGCTGACCCAGCCCCAGGGAAGTAAGGCACCCACCGGGCCCCATGTGCGCCAGCAACCCTCCCTGCACCCGCCGGCCTCCATCTCCCACCCCTGGCCCTCTTTTACTTACATTTTTAGTAGTTGCTTAGCAGGGAGGGGTGGAAACTTCCAGACAGCTCGCCTTCGCTGCAGACAACTCGCAGCACCGTTTGCAGAATGGGACTTTTGGTGGGCTCAGCAGGGCAGAGTCAGCCTGGACAATTCCTATTGGCTTTTGAAAGCCAATAGAATTAAACTCTATTCAAGAGAGTCTATTCTATTCTTTCAAAAGCCAATAGAATAAAAGGGAGTAGCACAGCTAAGGAAAAGAAGAAAAAAAATGGCGGACTGCGTTGTTTGGCGACCCCCGTGAAATGGTCATTCGACCCCAAATGGGGTCCTGACCCACAGGTTGAGAACCACTCTTTTTAGAACAATTATATGTTTCCCTCTTTGTCTAATTGTGATTTTTGTGTTTTATTTGCTGGTCTGTGACTGAATAAAGATTGATTGATTGGGACAAACAGTGGGTTGGGGAAGCTCAATGCAAAAGGTATATTTTTGAAGATACTTAACACATACCTACTGTAAGACCTGGGTTGTTGCAAAGGGAAGATGGTTGGTCCACACAGGACATGCCGACCACAAAGAAAACTCTCCTAGTTGTCATAAAATGACATTTTGCAAGCCACAGGCCAAAGAAATAAACTATTTCCTAAGATCTGAACAAGAGAACCTGAGGCCAGAAACTGCATACTTCCTACTCTGTATTAAACAAAGCATTTCTATTATGAAGTTAGATTCTCAGATTAAAATATAGCTTGTACAATGAATGTATCAGATAACTTGATTAAATCAATCGATTGACTGATTATATTTCTATTCTGGTTTTCCACAAAGAATAGTTATGAGTGTCTCCATCCATCCCTTCACCATTGTGAGAGGGTGACAATTTGAAGAAACAATGACTATCTTGAGGTGAAAACAGTGATTCATGAATAGTATGACTTCAAATCTGCCCTGCTGTCCATAGCACAACTCATTAGTTTTTCTGAGGGAAAACAATTCTGATGGAAAACAAGTCCCCAATTCCAATCTGACATTTTAACTGCTACAGTTACAAGGTTCTCTATAGCTCAGTGGTTCTCAACCTTTCTAATGCCGTGACCCCATAATACAGTTCCCCAGGTTGTGGTGACCCCCAAATGGGTGTGGCCACCAATAGGAGGGAGTAGGACAGCTAGGGAAAAGGGAAAAAAATGGCGGACAGCGTGGTTTGGCAACCCCCGTGAAATGGTCGTTCGACCTCAAATGGGGTCCCGACCCACAGGTTGAGAACCACTGCTATAGCTAGTGGTTTAATTATTTTTTTTAAATTTCTTTTTATTAGATGCTATTGAGTTAGAAGTGATCTGTAAATGATGGGCAGACAGATTTTATTTAAACCATCATCCCCTTTCTCTTTGTCAGGGGATGCATTTATGAACAAAGGTTGAGGAATTCCAGAACAGATACCAGCTTATTCCATCCGCCATGATCCTGGAGAGAACTATCTGGATCTGCATCACCTTCTGTACTGCATCTGTTAGACCCCTGGCAGGGAATAGCTGGAAGCAGGCAGCTACCAGTCCTATCATCCAGCATAAGCCATTTGTTGTGGTGTGGAATTTACCCACAACCAGATGTCAAGAGCATTTTGGGATCAGATTACCTCTGGATGTCTATGGCATTGTGGAGAACAAAGGCAATGTGTTCCAAGGACAGAATATGACTATTTTTTACAAAAACAAATTTGGACTGTATCCTTACATATCTCCACAAGGTGACTGGCATAACGGGGGTATTCCTCAGAAGGTTAATCTGAAGAGACATCTAGAGAAGGCCACTAAGGAAATCACAGAACTCTTGAACAATGACTTCCAAGGTCTGGCAGTAGTAGACTGGGAGGAGTGGCGACCTCTCTGGAGACGAAACTGGATGCCCAAAATGGTTTATAAGGAGGCCTCTAAACAATGGGTGACAAAAAGATTTCCTGGACTCTCTCCTGAGGAGCAAACCTACTTGGCTAAGGCAGAGTTTGAAAAGAGTGCACGGTTGCTGATGGAGACTACGCTAGCTCTGGGAAAGAAGCTGAGGCCACATGGTTTCTGGGGCTTCTACAGGTTTCCCGATTGCTTTAATGGCAAATGGGGGAAAGAGGTAAACTATACAGGCCATTGTAATCCCAAGGAGGTCCGATGGAATGATCAGCTCATGTGGTTGTGGGAGATCTCCTCAGCCCTCTATCCCAGTATCTACCTCCCACTGAAATTACCAGCTTTGTACCGCCAGCATTATGTACATCACCGTCTCAGAGAGGCATCCCGTGTAGCACAGTTTGGCAAAGAGCATCCCCTTCCTGTGTTACCATACTCCAGGGTTTCCTACAGGCATTCTTCAAGGTATCTAACTGAGGTAAGCACTTTGGGGCACTCAGAAAAGGGGGTAATAATAGACCCAGAGGTTGTAAATAATAGTTACATCTACTATTTGTCTGGAAAACATTTTTTGAGTTGTAGTCATTTCTGTTATACATCATTCCTTTGTTGCATTTATCTCACTTTTTCTCCAAAGTAGTTCTGAATGGCATACAATGTTCCCCTATTCACACACTCCACTGTCAGCACTGTACTATATTCTTTCAATTACTCTTGGAGTAGATTAAATGTGGGAGAAACGTCTTGCTTCATGGCCATTCAGTAAACAATATTTGAGTCCGAGTCATCAATTGTATTAAAAATATTATGTTTAAAAATGGAACTGCAGTAAGTAAGGTCCATTCATGAATTTTCCAGATAAGAAGTTATTGTTTTAATAGAACGAAAAAGCTATTAATTAACGGAACATCTGTAGAGATAAATTACATCTTTTCTGAGCAGGCTAAACTGCTGAGTAATTAAGAGGAGTTTGCTCTTGTAATTAGATTTTTATTATAGTGCTATTCAGTGTTGTAGATTTTCCTGAAAATTTTTAATTGGAATTGTTTTTTTAAAAAGAATTCTAAAAATTTCCATTGTTTGCACCAGAAAATGTTCAGTTTGCATTGAAAAAAATCTCATATAACACTATACATAATGGGGAATTTTATATTCATAATAGAAGTTGGGAAAATTTTGCAGAAAATATTTTTCCATACTATTACTGTTATGCAAAGTATTAGTTTAATTTATTCTGGTGTTCCAAAAATATGTACACAGAATTATTTTTTTTCTTGAATTATAGCTATTAAATCAGAGGTCCCCAAACCTTTGGGGCACCAGGCTGAAGTGTGTGGTTTTGTATGCTGCCTGCATCCTACGGATGGGGCTTTGCTTGTTTGTGTGGTCTGGTTGCTGGCATGCCACGGTCAGGTACCAGTCTATGGACCGGGGGTTGGGGACCCCTGTATTAAATGGTCAAACAAATCTGTCAGGCTCTTCAGGCATGAGAAAACATGCAAGATTTGTTTGACCAGTGAATTCAATGGAACATCAGTGTCTCTCATGAATAATTAGGTTTCTGGGTAGGTATATCTCTTTTCCCAAGCTGGTGATCCTCCAGCTGTTTTAGACTCCAATACCCAATTATGCTAGCTGAAGCCCAATTCATCTCATTAGTACTCTTCTTATTCATAAGTACCGATTTGGGGAATCGGTATGGGAAAAGATCAGGCCATACCTCTAGGTCTCTGAAAATAGATCTTTGTGCTCCATTGAAACCAGCTTAATAGAGAGTTTATATCGTTAAAATTATAACGTGGACATATACTGAGCTACTCACTAGTAGCGCTTCTATTTTTTCTTTTTTCTTTTTATTCAGACTGACCTGATAAATACTATTGGAGAAAGTGCAGCACTTGGCTCTGCTGGGGTCGTGCTCTGGGGCGACTTATCCTACTCCAGCTCACTTGTGAGTATATGTGAAACATTTCTATGCTTCTTACTGTGAAAGTGAACCTTGGGCAAGAAACAGGCTCATATCACCACCTCTGCCCCAATGGCATTCCTACAGCTATTGGGGAGATTCTATCCAGCTTAAAGCTCTGGCTTAGGCAAGATATTATAGGTTCATGAAGTAATTTGTTTTCCCAAAAGTGAAGTTTCACTAATTCTCTATCTACAATTCTTTTATAGTTGAATCTTCTTAGAGGACATTGTTACTATCTCTGTGCAAATAGCCCAACGCTTGTAACATTTTCAGTCTGAAAAATGTTTGAGCAGACCTAATAAAGTATATAAAATTGATTTGTGTTTAGAGGAAAAAAAGGAAAACATTGCCTTCTTCTATTATAGTATTAAAACCTACGAAGAGCAAACAAAAATTATAGGGGGTTGAGGACAAACAAAAGGCGGTATTTTATGTATCACGTAAATCAAATTATGGAATTTTCCATAATTTTCTACTGCAATGTATAATGTTGATTGCCAAACTGGATGTTTTTAAATCAAATTCATGGAAGAAGAAAAGACTGTTAAACAGTATTCACCTGTGTACTGCCTTCCAGTAATGACGGCAGTGTACTTTTCCATGCTAATTGCTGAGAACCAGGCATGGAAAATGCTAATGTGGTTCATGTTCTGCTTATGATTAGAAGTCCCTGATTTGTCCCTCTTGGAACAGAATGCTGGAATGGATGGTTCTCTTGGCCTGATCCAGCCTGGTGCTTCTTGAGTTCTTTAAAATCCAAATTCTAATTCTGATCTTATGTTCTCCAGGCCAGATGCAAGAGCCTTCACCATTATATCAACACCACACTGGGACCTTACGTTGCTAATGTGACTACAGCAGCACACAGATGTAGTCGCCAGCTATGTCATGGGAATGGACGTTGTGTGAGACACTACCTGAATGAATTAGAAGCCTTTCTTCATCTGGATCATCATCTATGGGAAGGGGACCTTGGGATGACAGATTCTCAAGACCAAAATGTGTCAGCGCAGGATCATTTTCAGTGTCATTGCTATCCAAAGTGGGCTGGCACCCACTGTGAGAGACCACAGATGATCGAGCCTTTTAAGAAACCAAAACATAACCAAGCTTCACAGTATAACAATGTGTATGATACAGTGCATGATGGTGACTTTGACTTGGGATCCAATATCTGTCCTACCTCTATTTATGGTAAAGAAACAGAAAGATAACCAGCACTTTATTGAGTAAGAATCTTGATAAATTTTGTTCTAGGGCAAGGGTATGCAACCTTGGCTCTTTTATGACTCGTGGACTTCAACTCCCAGAATTCCTGGCTCAGGAATTCTGGAAGTTGAAGTCCACGAGTCATAAAAGAGCCAAGGTTGCATACCCCTGTTCTAGGGAGTGAATGTTTCCTGATAACTTGAAGAAAATGACAGAATTCCAGAATTATATTTAAATAATTACTTTCTTCCACCTCTTATTTTCTCTCCATTCTCCCTACTTGCATCTAATCTTATCATGAGTATGTTCTGGCAATAGCTGTATCCCATGATAATGTCTTAATCTTGATCCAGTTCTTAAGGGAGACAGGCTTAAGTTGTTTGCTGTACTTGTATTAGAATAAATTTAGCAGGGGATGTAGCTTAATTCTATTTTTCTGACATTACTTAACATGACAGAGAGAGGAAAATGAATTGCCCAGTAAGACTGGCATTCAGCCAGTTCATATTCTGTCTGTTCCCTTAATACATGACACAGAGTTGATGGCTGGATGGATCTCTGTATCACATCTGCTCTCTCATAATTATTTTTCTCTCTCTTTCACAAAAGCACACCTTACAGTTGTATGCAAACAAAGTAGGTTGAAAGCACATCATCTCAGCGCAAGTTCCAATAAATAAATAATAAACTCCCCCTTGGCATAGCTACATCTGCTCAAGTAGAAGCCATGAATATAGGAGGACCCTGAAATTGTGCGCCAACTAGGTCTAGGAGGGTGCCTCCCCACCTACAGTCAAAAGATAAAATAGCATTTGGGCCTGGGAATGGGGCAAAACCTAGAGCCATTCCATCTTGCCAGGGTTGAGTCAAAGCCAGCGTCTTGCCATCCAGATTACTCAACCAGCACTGCCACAGCATCACCTGTCTTGACAGGTGCAAGAGATATGTAATTAGGTACTACTACAGTCATGTCAAGAGCATTGAAGCACTTCTGGGCTTAAGCAAGCAACTAAATTTCATGTTTAATGTGTGCCAATGTGCCCACAGTAAAAAATGACAATAAAGGTCTATCTATCTATCTATCTATCTATCTATCTATCTATCTATCTATCTATCTATCTATCTATCTATCTATCTATCTGATTGAACGGTGACATCCCCATTGCCTAGGGTGGGGGGAGCACCCAGTTGGGGTCTCCTTTCATGTCCCTGTTAAGTATAATTAGGTGCTATTCATATACTTATGATACTGAATCCCTTACTGAGGGATGACCTCCCTGAGGGGTTTCACATATATTTTAAAAAGAAGAGGCACAAGGTTAGAGCCCTGGAGCACCCCACATTGTAGGGTCCTAGAGGTCAATCTCTCTTTTTGTATCAACCCAACTGGAACTAGTCACAGAAGTAGGAGGAGAACCACCATATCCCAGTGCCTCACACTCCCAATCCCTGAAGCTGGTCTCGAAGGATACCAAAGTCAATTGTACCAAAACCCTCTGAGAAGAGCAGGAAAGCCAGAGTGATTTCATCACCCCATCCCAAGCTTTCCAAATGTCATCAATAAGAACAATAAATGCTGTTTCAGTGCTGTGTCTTGGCCCAAACCCACACTGAAAAGGGTCCAGGTAATCAGCTTCATCCAAGGTTCTTTGTAGTCATGCACCAACCACTTTCTCAACAATCTTCCCTAAAAAGGGAAGACTGGAGACTGGATGAAATTTGTCTAATACTATTGAGTCCTAGGATAGCCTCTTGAGAAGGGGGACGCACCACTGCCTCTTTCAGGACAGGTGGTGCTTCCTTCTCCTGCAAAGGGCATTAATCATTGCTTGGATGAAACCACATGCCACCTCCTTGGAGGCCTGGGTCCAGAACGTAGGTGGCCAAGCACACACTTCCTCAAGAAGTCCCCCAGAACCATACATCTGGGGAACTCCATTGCTAGCCCAGACATAGAATCCAAGAATGTGGGCAGGGATGCTGCTACTTTGCAGAGAATAAGGTAAATGAATAGTAATCCTCACTGATCCCTATGGACCAACCTCACCAAAAAAAAAAAAATTCATACTCAATGTCTGGGGCAGGGCCATTAATGTCCACCCACCAGAGACTCATGGAAGACAACAGCTACACAACCACCCTTGGAGTTCCAGTTGGTGCCACACTCAAAATTCCAGTGGCATATTTCAAAAAGAGTAGTCCCCCACACACTCCACACCCAACCTACTATGAATGATACCGGCTAGGCCATAAAATGAAGATGTAATGGTATATGGGAGACAGAGAAAGAACCACAGTCAGGGGAAATGGCCAGATAAGAAGCAGTTTAGCCTTCAGAAGGAATGTGAGTGTGGCAAACATCTCAGAAGGGACCCTCCTTAGTTGCTTGGGCTGTAAAGGCAATGGGGGAGAAATGTACTTTCAAATTTGAAAGATTCTATTAATACCTTGCAATAAAGTAGGATTAGGTCAACTGGGTATGCTTCCTGTTTTGCAAGGCTGACACCATTGGGACTGAAAAAAGATAACACCGCAGAACTGCCTAGATCCCAGTATACGGCAACAGAGAAACTGGTGGGAAAAAAATATTTTTTTTAAAAAAATAAGACTACGGAAGACCACAAGTTGAGACTAGTCTCCTACAAATGGTGTTCTCTCAGAGTCTAGAGATGTGTGTGTTATGTGTGTGTGTGAGAAAAAGAGAGAACTGTAAGAGAGAGATTGGCTGGGGTAACTCAATATAACACAGTCGCCAACTGATTCACTGGAACATCTGTAAAAATGATCATGGGCGAGTATTGAAAAATTGCTGGTAACACAGATTTGGGAACAGTCAAAAATGAGCAGGCTAAAATATTGTGGGAATTACCAGATACAAAATGATAAAGTCATGGCTCATAACACACCAGATTTAACTGAGGTTGAAAAGAATAAAGTATGAATAATTGATATAGCAGTATCAGAGGATAATAGAAGACAAAAAATTGGAGAAGATCACAAAGTATCAAGATCTGAAAATCAAAATTGAAAGATTATGGCATAAACCGTCAGTGGTGGTCCCAGTGGCTATTGGCATGTTGGGTGCCGTAGCAAAAAAATCTTGAATGGCATTTAGTAAATGTGCATTGACAAAATTTCCATCTGTCAATTGTAAAAGTGTACAGTCCTGGGATCTGCACATATACTATGCCAATATATTAAGGCATTCCTGGAAATAACGATCTGTATTAAGGCCGACACAGGCTAAATACTGGCAGTTGTGATTTCTAAATCATCATTATCATCAATATCCCCTTGAAAGTGGACATGGTGCTACCACAAGTGAAAAACCTAACAAAAAAAATACCCTGAAATATTGGGAAAACAAAAGCTGAATTGAGCTCACTGCTGAAAAGCACTTAGGAGTTTAGCAGAGATATTTAAATGCAATTTGGCATTGACAAATGTGCAACAATTGCTGTTAAGGCAGAAAAAAATTGTTGAAGATGATGGATTCGAAGTTGATAATGAAGAGTTGATAAAAGCAATAACCCCAGAAGATGGGCACAAGTACTCAGGAGTTTTGGAAGCCTCTGACCTGTTGCATAACCAAGTCAAGGAAACTACTTCAACAAAATACATAAAACGAGTCCGGAAAATCTTGAGTTCAAAGCTAAGTGGAAGAAATTAAAGACAATTAACACTTGGGCAGTGCCTGTAATATGAAACTCAGCTGGAATAATTGACTGGATTCATGTCAAGAAAACTAATGACAATGCACCAGGCTCTGCTCCCAAAAGTGATATTGATTGATTGTACTTGCCTAGATCTCGGGGTGGCAGAGGACTCTTACTGTGGAAGAGGAAAAACAGGCTTAAATGACTACATAAAAAAGACAAAAGATCCTTTGTTGAAGGAGTTGAACAAGGGAAACCTCTTGAAAACAATGAGATTGAAAGCAGAATATCAAAAGGAAACAATTGAGCATTGAGTTTCTAACTGAAAAAAGAAGCCTATGCACAGTAAATACCTGAAAGACATTGAAGGATAGATAGATACAAAGAGCTAACATGGAGATGGTTGAGATCAGGGGTGCTGAAGAAAGAAACTGAAGGCTTCATTTTGACTGCCCAAGAACAAGCCCTGCAGACCAATTCCATGAAAGCAAAAATTCAACATGTCAATAACAACAGTAAATATTGCTTATACAATGAGAAAGATGAAACAGTAGATCACCTTATAAGTGGCTGCAGCAAAATCACACAGGCTGATTATCTACAATATCATGATCGAGTTGCCAAAATCACACATTGGAAGCTTTGCCAGAAGTTTGGGTTCGAATGCAACAAAAATTACTGGGAACACCAAATTGACAAAGTTCTTGAAAATGAGCAAGTCAAGATCCTGTGGGATTTTCGGATCCAAGCAGACAGACATCTGGCCCACAACATGCCTGACCTCACTATTGTGGAAAGGAAAAAAGTCTGATTCATTGATACTGCAATACCAAGTGATGCATGAATTAAAGAGAAACAGTTGGAAAAAATAAAAAATATCGTGATTTGAAAATTGAAGGAAGAAATAAATGGTTGTACCAATAGTAAAAGGAGCCCTTGAAGCAACACCCAAAGGGCTGCCTAGATACATGGAAATTTTGAACATCAGACCAGAATATCCTAACTTTGCAAAAAACCACTCTACTAGGAACTGCCTATATATTCAGACGCTACCTTAACACAGGGGTCCCATGGACTGGTACCGGGCTGCGGCATGTCAGCAACCGGTCTGCACAAACAAGCAAAGCCCCATCCGTGGGATGCAGGCAGCACACAAAACCACACACTCTCCGGTCCGTGGAAAAACCTTTTTCCACAGAACCAGTCCCTGGTGCCCAAAAGGTTGGGGACCTCTGCCTTAACAGCTCTTAGGTCCTTAGTTAGGACTTGAACTGTTAAGTTTGTACAGTCCCAGACTGTGAATAGAATTGAAGATTAACAACAACAACAATAATTCTTGTTTTAAGGTGTGCAGTGTAGAGTCCAGAGACTTAGGAAATGCTGCTGTTGCTTACTTCTGAAGAATT